AAAAATAAGTAAATAAAAATAAATAAATAAATTTAAAAAAAATAAATATATTCTTAAATGTTACAAATAGCACAATCCCTCACTGTAAGGGCATCCAAATTACTTATATCTACAATAATCTCCTTTTTGCTGCTGCAGAATCATCTCTTTTTCCACCTACTGAACTCTTAACTAAACTGGCTAACAAAATGAAAAAAATGGTGATATATGAGTTTTTATTACAAACCTTACAGAAGCCCTAATAATCAATCAAAAAGGAATATCTATAGTAAGATTGAATTTGCTGCATCTAGAAAAACAGAGAATTGGCTTTTCTGCACTCCTCCTCCAAAAGCCTTCTTAAGGGGGATGGGGTCAATCAACAGATATTTTTCCAGGAGGGGTTTTTGTTTGTCGGATTGTTTTGTTGAGCATATGGTTGTACTACAACTGTCAGGTATTTTGTACTGTATGATCTCACTATCATCTCATATGAGTCAAAAAAAAGTGACAGTTCAATATAGTATGAATTTCTTAGATCTTCATTCCCTTTGAATATGAAAATGATACTTTTATTCTCCTAATGAGGAAAAACGACAGCGGATTTTATAAGAACAACTGTAAAGTTCCAAGGTAAAAATGAGAGGGGCAAGAAACCTGGCTTTTAATGCCTTTTCTTGCTTTTCACACCATCGAGGTCAATTCACATGCTAACAGCCTGGAGACACCTGCAGAGCGGCATGAACTCCCACACGTGCCCAGCTAGCTGAGGTCATGTCTACAAAGACATGACTGGAAGCTCCAGGTTACAGAAATCAAATCACTATCAAGACTGATGCTCTGGCCTATTCTCTGTTACAGTGCCTGTCTGAAAATGGCAGTGAAATAAAAACTTTAAATCTCTATGCTGTTTTACAAAGATGTAAAAATCAAAATTTTTCAGAAGTCATTAACAATAAAGAAATGAACCAAGTTATACCAGGCAAATGCTAAAACCACAGAAAAAGGAAGACAGGTATGGCTGTGTGGATATTAACATCAAAATGGAATTCAGAGCCAGAAAACACTGAAAGTTGCCAAACAAGATATTTCCCACTGATAAAAGCTACCACTTTAACTACAGGATAGAACAGTTTTAAGTACATATCAATGTGGCCAGGAAACACACAAATCCAAAATGCTAGTGGGAAATCTTAGTAAACCTGTGCCAGGAACTGATCAGCCCAAATTAAGTAAAATACTAGGATTTTGAAAAACACAAGTAATAGGTTTAGAAAAATGTATGCCCTATAATCAAGTGCATAAATATCCTGTAAAACTAGTTCTTTTAACATAACAGTAGGTATTTTTAACTGCTGTGTTCAAGAAAAAGAAAAAATGTGTATGATCAACATTATCATTATCTGTACGGAAAATAAACTAAGTATTAATCTTGGAAAGAGGAAAAAATCTGTCATTACTTGCAGTCATGATTATGTGTCAGGAACTAAAATAAGAGTAAAGTAAGAGTTAGAAACAAGATAAAAAAAAGGTGGATAAATATCCAACACAGCAAAATTATTACTTGAAAAAATGCTGCAAAATGTAATTCCACTCATAATAGCAATTGAAATTATAAAAGTGTAATAAAGTGAGAAGTTTAATGAAACTCCATGGAGGTGTATATATGAACTGAAAATTGAGAGAGATGTTATAGTATTGGATAACTGATGAAACTATTAACTTTTCACAACTCAAGAAAATTTCCAGTGAAGTTTATTACAGAATTTAACAAAATATTTCTAAAATTTCTATACAACAGAAAAAATGGAGAAGAATATAGAAAATTTGATTAGAAGAACAGTATGGGGAGTTGGCTTGTCAGAATTGACAATCTAGTATTGTGCAGGAATTATATAAAATACCAATACAACAGTAAAAATGCTGTAGAAACAAACATGCACTTATATGGGAATTGTGTATATAGATGGCATTTCACATGATTGGGTTAAGGCTGGACTTTTTAACAAACAAGGAGTTTGGAAAATAGACCATGTATCTAGAGATGTTTTTCAGGTTAGATTTCTATCTCATACAAAGTAATTTCTAGGTGAATTAAAGAGCTAAGTAAATCCTAAACAATAAAAAACAGGAAACAATAAAGGATAATTTTATAATTTAGAGGTGGGAAGACCTTCTCAAAAATCTAGTTGAAAATACTGCAGAGCAACCATGTAAAATGAACATCTCAAGTAAGACAAAACACCACAAATTTACAAGGTCAGGAAAAAACCCAGCATGTAATATTAGGGGAAAAAAGTGCATTATGAGTTCTTAACAATTAATTGAAAAAGCCAAGTAATTCAATAGGGAAATGAAAATAGATAATTCAAAGAAATACAATTGGCTAATACATAGAAGAAAAAAAATCATCAACCAATCATGAGTAACCAGAAGTCATAACTGGCATGATGTATCTTCTGTTGCCAACCATATTGACAAGACCTAAATGTGTAACTGCCAAGATTGCTGAGGATAAGGGTCTACAGATTTTTATTGAATGTTGGTGGAGTGTCAACTGGTGTAGTTTTTATTGGGGTACTTTGGGCCACATCTCATTAAAATTTAAAATGTACATATTTATCAAGGAAATCCATTTCAAAGAGGCTCTGTATATGTTTTTTATCGGCAATGTTGCAGAAGACATCCACATCACTACCCCAGGAAAACATGTTTCTGGATAGGGTCCATAAACCACGTTCATAAACATTGTTTTCAAGGTTTATTATATCACATGGTTATGGTCATTTTACAGAGTGCTTGAAACTAGTATTTGGCCTGACTCAAAGGCTACCTACCAAAGAAAAAAGAAGGCCTTGGTTAGATGGTCTTACGTTTTGTGGTTACCATTTTGAGCTACATAAAAATCCTTTTGCCAAAGGAGGAAATTACTGGCTTTTACAAAACCTCATCTTCTTTTAGCTGTAAGTCTCTTTGAAGTAATGTTAAAACATTTATATTTTTGGCCATATTTAATTCACTTCTCTCCACATTCTTTAATTCAGCAATTTCATCTCCAAAATCTCAGAGAAATACTCCTATGCAGAAACAAGTGCAAGGATGTTAATTCTAGAATTAATTTTAGTAGTGAAAAAGTTGGAAACAACAAATTACTTAGGAAATGATTAACTATGTATCCATCTTAAGGAATACTGTGTAGTAATTAAAAATGAGATAGATATATATATGCATACTAATCTGAAAAAAATTGCAGGACACATGATTAATGAAAAAAAATTATAGAAAATATGTAATATAAAATTACACTTTTATGAAAATAAAATAAAATCTTTATGGAAATGTGTGCATAAAAATGCTTATTAGAGAAGACTAGGAATCACACATCTAAAACTTCAAAGTTAAGTTCTTCCTGTAACAGGGTACGGGGCTTCCACTTTGTTTCCTGTGGGTTTTTTAAAAGTGTTTTCATGAAGGAAAGAGAGTCAGATATTACTTCTGCAAACGGAGCAAGTTTTGAAAAATATTAATGTTAATATTCACTGATGGCATATATAGAGTGCTTATTATTAATGCTTAAAGTTAACATATTACCAGATATAGTCTGTGATTATACATCAACAATAAGAAAATAATTGGAAGAGTGTCTGTTTACCTATATGATGTAAATTTAGGTGTTGCAATGGTTGAATTTAAATAGACAGTTTAGTTTTCATTTGCATGCACAGCAGCCTAGAAGTGCAGTCTAAGAATCTATTTTAGTAAAGACTATTCCAATTATCAAATTTAGCAAGTTTCATTATGGAAATTCCCAGAGGCAAGCTCTGGCATTTAATGATAAGAAAATGAACAAGGAAGTATTGCTTACAGAATGAATCAATAGAAAAGTGAGTTTCCCTGTCTAATATAAAATAATCTTTATATTAAGCAAAACCACATGGAATTGATTAGAGGTATATTGTATAAATGTTCTTCAAGCTCTACAGTATAAGAATATACAGTGTGATAATGATCATGAAGCAAAAAGAAAAACAGTGAGAATTCCTTCAAGCCTTTTAAAATTCACTTATGAATCATGAACAGTTTTACAAAATTCAGCAAGATCGTCTCCCTTTTCTTGTCTTCTCTGACTATATCAGGCTAATACTGTATTGTATATACTTGAAATTTGCTAAGAAAGTGGATCGCCAGACACAAAGGTAACTGCTGGAGGTAATGAATGCATTACTTGATTGTGGAAAGCATTTCATAATGTTTACATATATGAAACCAGCATGTTGTACACCTCAAATACATTCAACCTTACTCACCAATCATACCTCACTGCAGCTGGAAACAAACGGTAGCCACCGAATGGAAGTCAGGTCAGACCCAAGCATTATTCCGCTGAGTAAAGCAAACACTGGCCTCCGCGGATGGCCGAGGAATCCCAGGGCCATCCTGTCACTTGCCACTGACATTCTCAGGTTGCACTAACGGGAAAGGCCCGTTGGGAGCCGGCATAACCATAAGCCCGGGCTGAAAGGCACGAGCGCGGAAGAGGCCTGAAGACTCACAACAGTTCCGGGAAGTTACGGACGTGACGTGCGCGCCACCTTTGGCACCGTCTTCCTGCGCCTTCGACGTCTTTCTCCTGGATGATGAGAAGCTCCGCAGTGAGCCCCCTGTCGCTCGCTGGCCGCGGGTGCCGTGCTACGGGCCTCAATGGTCAGTAGTGAAGCACAGATACATACTTTCGTGCTGTTGTTCTCAATTAAACTCCAGTACTCGGGACTTCTACAACATTCAGAGGGGCTCATGTAGAAAAGAAAAAGTTCAAGCCAATCACCAGATCCAAAATTAGCATTTTATTCAGAACGCTGGGGTCAGAGGTGTATCATTTATATTCTGGTACACAATACAGAGGCAAAGCTGTTGTTGGAAGTCTCTCCAGTTTAAAAGCTTTTTTTTTTTTCATTTTCTTTTTTTAAAAAACACACAGTGCCATCAGCATCAGGCCACCCTATTCTTTCCCTTGNTTTCTCCCTCCCCAAACAAAAAGAAAATTAAAAATTAAAAAAAAATTAAAAAATTAAAAATTGAGTATTCTAACTACAGCTCAACAATTGAATCAAATGTCACTTTGTTTTGTAAATACTTTATCCATAATGAAAGATATAAACATGCAAAAAAGCTGAATCCATAGTCCAAATAATACATACACATGTTCTGAAGTTTCTGCACTTCTCCATAGACTATGCCAATAAAACATTATGTACACATACCATTTTTACAGTGAAGTGGAAAAAATACAGTAAATAAAAAAGTGTACATGAATTAAGACCAAAATGTGTCTAACATTCTAGTTTATGAAAAAATTCAATTTTGCTACAAATTGGTGATACGAAAACTCCCTTTATTTGCAACCAGCTGCATACGTTTTAAGATTTTAGTGAAAAAAAAAAGCAAAACAAAAAAACAAAAGAAACTAAAGTCTAAAACTAGAAGTCATGTACATTTTCCAACCTCATGGTCTCATCCCCCAAGATAATAAAATTGCTCCATGAGTTTTTGTTTGTTCAACTCTGTATTTTAATAAAAGCAAATGCAATGTAACAAAAGCGTGTTGAAGCATGTTGTGGTTTAACTTACTGCTCCCACCACAATATATTCTGTCTTTTACTTATCATTTCAGAAATCAGTACCATTAAAGCCTTAAACATAAAACTAATTCCAATCTGAAAAAGGTACAAAAAGGCACATAAAATCCCAGTGCTTCTGTACTGTAAAATTCAAGTGTAACTGAGCTCAGTGTTTCTCCAAACAGTATTGATCACTGATATTCCCTCTGAGCCCAGATTGGTTTGCAGCCTATACCAAAGCCTCCAGCAAGCTCTCCGCTAGTAGACTACAAAGTTAAAGCCTAGCTTCCAAATGCTTTTTGGGAATATCAGTTGACATTGTTTGTACTTGTCCAAAAAAACAAGTTCACCCTGCAGTTCAGTCATCACCTCCACCATACATGTCAGCGAGCTTCTTGAAGCGGGGCCCCCAGTCGTTCAGGTAGTCATAGTCCTGCTCGCCACCACTACTGGAGGAATTTAGGGAGCTCAAGGACCCCGCTGTGGAGCCACTACCTTCATAGTCGAAGACTAGGAGGGAGTCATATGGCGGAGCTGTGGGATCATTGTCAGCAGCCTTAAGGCCCTACAATTTGGAAAGACAAGGAAAGAGTGAAGAGAGGGTTAGGAATCACAGATCCTAGTGGGCCAACAGGATCCAGTACTTGTTTGTACATTTCTACCTGCAGCCTACACTTTCAATCCACAGGAAATGGGGCTATCACCACATTTGAAAGTTAGACAAAAAATAACTTATGTCTTTCTTCTGCAAGAAAGAACCCTAAGGAGTTCAGCTCGGTAAGGCCAAGACATACAATGGGAACGGGGTTAAGTGGACAATGTGCCTGACAGTGGCAGACATGAAAGGCTAACTGCTTGAAGCTGCTAAGGGAGGATATGAAATGGAGTGGACTAAGGCATGTGTGTAACAGTACATAGGTAAGACCAGTTGTAATTACTGGTGAAATAAGTAACATGAAATAATACAGAGGGCTAGGAAATCATGTGATACATAGATCCTAAGTTGTCCAGAGACAAAGGATTTTGACAATGCCCAGGTTAAACAGGAATTATATATGTAATATATAAGGGAAGGACATACAAGTGAGTGCCCTGTAGTCCTGTCTCTGCAAGCAAGACTAGCATAAGAGGCATCACTAAAGAACGAAAGAAATGACAAATAAGTGACAGAACTATGAAATCTAGGCAAAATCATCAGGATGCTGGAAAAAAAATTCAGACTAGCACTGAGAGCTAGGAGTTCTGGGAAGAAGTGGCATTGCAATGGACCTAAATTTGGAAGGCTATCAAAGAATGAAGACAGGCCAGATGTGATTACAATATAAGGAAAGTTACTGGTTAAATCATTTATGTTCTTAACAGAAAATAGGAGGCTAAATTAATTGTTAAATTGTGATCAGGTATTATTTTTTAAGAATAGAGTGACTTCTAACTCTCACAGGCCCGAGAAAAGTCAGGATCCAGTACCTATACATAGTATAAATGTTGTGTGTTGGTGGGGAACCTGCCTGTTTAAAACAACATGTACACATATGGCTCTTAAAAGGGTTTGAAGAATGAGAACCAATGAAATTATTATCTATGAACTTAACTCTTGCAAGTAAAATGCTTGTAAAGGTATAATTTATGTACTTGCAGCTAATTCATAATTATGCTCCACAAAACTGAAGGATTTAATGCTGTAGGTCCTTTGGGCATTTTCTCTAATCTCTCCTCAGTTCTACTCTAGATCTCCAAGACATACCAGCATTAGTCTCCAAACAAGCAATTCTTTTCCCCCACGACTCTGTTTTTTGAAAGCTGAGAGGTTTAAGGTAGACCTTCTCCAAGATGTCATGAACTGTCCTACACGTGTATTCTATTAGAATATATATGTGGGTGTATTTTTTATCAGTATGTGTTCATCTATTTATTCTTCAAGTTTATAGAGGAGAAGGAGGGGGAAAAGATCATGAACATCACAAAGCAAGAGTCAGTGTGTGTTGTGGTTAAGACATCAGACTCAGGGTTGACACCTCATTTCTACATGGTATTAGCTGTGGAACCTCAGCTAAATTCTAGAAGCTGCATTTCCTCATCTGTAACTGTAATAAGATTAGTGTGAGAAATAATAAAACCCAAGGGGTCACCACAGTGTCTGGCACATGTTAGAGTTTAATGAATATTAGTTTTCTAAAACATAACTTTTAAGTTCACTGAATATTTTCCTGCTTTGGAATTTTTAAAAAGAAAAGTAAATGTGAGACATAATATTTTATGAAACAAACATGGCAACTGCTTGACTTCAGTCAAAAACAAAAGAGAAAAGTACACACTACCAATTTTTAATTTCCAAGTCTCTCTCATCAACAATCCTAACCATCTAATTAAACACCATTTTTTCCCCAAGTGAGGCTATACTATTTATAACCCAGTAAAACCTATGTGAAATAAAACAAGTCTTCAGCAAATGACTTCAATATATAAAACGTAAGTAACTTTAGATAGGATTTTATTTATCATATTCATAGGATAATCTACAAGGCAGTTCTGCTAAGACTGAGAACCAGACTGCTACTTCTCAAAGTCCACAATTCCATTCTGTGGTAGAGCATGTTACCGTGATCAGTGATTCGCTCTATTTCCCTGCAGGTGGATTACACACCCCCGTGACCCTCTGGAGCTGGAGTTTACTTCTCACACCCACTGTCAGACTTTGCTTGGGACTGGCTTTGGCCAATAAAACGTGAGCAGCACCTCTTCTTTAAGAGGAGTCACTGACAGCTCTACCTGACGCATTTCTAAGGACTCCTTTTCACCCTCCCCACTTTCAGGAGAAGGGTCTGTTAAGGTGGAAATTTTCCTTCTGCCTGGATCCTGAGATGCAAAAGGCTCAGGAAGCCAGCTAGTACTGGCCCACAGCTAACATATAACCTGAGCAAGAAGCAAGCCTTTGTTACTGCAAGCCAACCACACTTTGCAGTTGTTAGTTACTGTAGCCTTAGCTAGAAAAAGCTGAAGACTGCACCTTCATTCATTTTGCTTGTATTTATTCAATTCAAGCCATACTGTTGAGTATGTACATGGTGCTGTATATTTTTGCTTATAATTACAATAGTGGTAGAACACAGGTATTAATTAATAAGTGAGGTCCAATGCCTGTCCTCCTGAAGTTTATATTCAAATGGCAGCATTTGCCCCTTTCCTTTTCCCTACAAAATCTAGCAACTGCAGATTTAAGGAATAGGCAATTCCTTTACTACAGCACTGTCTAACTTGGGTCTACATAAGAATGGCACCCACAAAAGAGCTGAAGGAAATAAAAAATTATGAAAAATCCTGATCAGGACAATGGGCTTCTGTAGACAAATCCGTTTCACCTGCTATCTGAAAGTAGAGCATTGCTTTGAATCCCTTGGTAAGCCAAGAAAGCAAAGAAGCAATAACCATTAATTTACATTAAACATTTTGGAGCATTCCTAGGCCTCCAATATCACCTCTCTTAGCTTTCCTGATACCTTAGGACACATCTTGCTAACAGAGTAAGTGGAGATACAGTGCAGATGCTCCCAGACACAGCTCAGAGCTTTGCTGGCTGGATGTTGGGATGCAGGGCAGTCCTGGGAGGCAGCCTGGGGGCCACTGTGGCTGCTCGGGATGTGCGCTGCCTCTATAAAGGCTCGCTGCAAAACAAACTTCTGAGTTCGATTTTTTTTTCACTTTTTGCCTTTTTTGGTGAAAGTGAAAATCCTCTTCGGATTTCTTTAGGTCAGCAACAGGTACTGATGTAGGTGTTCCATGAAGGTAAAGTGGCATGACTGGAACATACGAAAAGCAGGGAATACCTGTATTAAGTTTTCATTATGACCTTCAGTGACTTGCAGCAGAGACAGGTGCCTCAGACACTAGGAAATAGTTCAGTTTTATCCAGAGTTCAAGATCTGCCTCCCCAGGAAATGTGAAACAAGAGATAGTGACCAAGGTCACTGTGGTCGGGTCATCTGCTTTACTGCAGTTCAAATTTTAAATAGAACATGCAGAAGCCTGCCCAGTCTTTCGGTTGTCAGCACCAAACTGGAAATATGAAAAGGTTACGACTAAAATCAGCTCTGAAGAGCCAATGGCAGGGTGTTAAGTGCATCTTCGGTAGAGAGGAGCACAAGGGCCTGTCTGCTTTGACTGACTTAGAAATAATTGTGGGCTGCTGTCTCATCTTCACCGGCGTGTAAAGGAACCCGAGGCTCTTCATGAAATGCTTAAGCCACCTAATGCAATTAATCACAATAAATAAAACACTGATGATAATCTAGCCCTGTGCTCACTATTGAGATTCTCAAAAATACTCATTTCTTTTAATTTTTTAGCTCCTATCTTAGTTTTCTGATCATGCTCGTAGTTTTTGAATCTGTTTTCTTTCTTTTTAAAAATGAGGTTAAGACCACAAAATCCATTAAAGATCCCCAGGTGCTGCTACTGCATGGCACATTTTCTCAGGTTTTAATAATTACAGAAGGGCAAAGCCACTGACCTTCCCAAGAATTCTTAGGCAAGCCATGCTTCTGGGCTGAAGGTTAAGTACTCTAAGTACCTTTCACTTGGAGAGCACTGATCTTTATCTGAGAATAAAATAGGACTCTTGGATGAGGCATTATATAAATTCTGGGTACTATCTTGGTAACTCTAAAAAGATCGTAGTCAAGTCCTGAGAAAACGACAGTGAGAAGCATGACCCGGAGTGAATGTACAGAGGAAATCGAGGGGCCACATAATCTCAGTCCCCCCTCATGGAGTTCTTCCGTGCTCAGGTGCGGACAGCACTTCACGTGGTGGGTGATGCACTGTTGTCAAATTTACAAAGTAATTGCATGCATTTCTCTTTCTCCACCTAAGTTTGACTAAATCTAGAAAAGTATGTGCTTGTTTCACATTTTCTGGGGAGACAGATCTTGAACACTGGATAAAACTGAGCTGTTTCCTAGTGTCTGAGGCACCTCTTTAAAACAAAACGCATGTGGCTCGGGCTGAGCTCCTGCAGAGCTTGTATTTATAGACTTCTGATCCTATGCTTTATGGATGGAGACATTCTTTTATAGGGACCAAAAAGACCCACATTCTTCAGTGAGGGAACACATCAGGGATATAAGAGGAGACAGGTCCTATTGATTCTGGAAATTCTGTCCTCTATTGTCTCAACACCACTGCCTTGATTTAGGTCCTCATTATATCCTGCCTGGACCCCAGCAAATGCTGCGAACTGGTCTCCCTGTCTCCAGTACTATAGCTGCGTCTTTCCTACAACTACTAATGGTTCCTCTCTGACGTTATTTGAAGTCACTCCTCCATGAAAAGCTCTTCTATTACCCTCTAGTACCTATAGTAGAGTTTCCCACATAAGGGAGGAGTTCCCCTGGGAGTATGCCCAGTGATTTTTGAGGTGCATGGGCACTTAAAAACAATTCTCTTATTTTAAAAAATTAAGTTAAAGATGTATTAGAAGTTTAAGTAATAGGAGAGGTGTGCAGACATGGAAAAACCTAGAAGGCGCCACTCAAATGCCTAATGTCTGGATGACCTACAGGATAAGGTCAAAGCTCTTTAGAGAACTCAGTGAACCTGGATAGTTCACGCATCTTTTCTGTTTCAGCTACTCTCAACTCCAGCAACCGCACTGAATTTGTCACCAAATTATTTGCCCATATCCCCCAAAACTTAAAAATGTCATGTTTTTGTGGACCTCTGTTATTTACATGTTCATTTTCTGCTAGCTGAAGTGTGATTCCTTTTATTTGAAACGTCTTCACTCAATTTTTAATCTGATTAATATCCATCCATCATTTAAAGCCCATTAAAAATGTCACTTCCGTTGCATGGATTTTCTTACCCTCAGCCATGACTGAGAGTAATTGCCATGGTTTGTCTGGTGTCTTACTTTTATTGCCATGTTTCATTACATGAGATTGTGACATCCCTTTCTTCAAAGGCTGGCTGTATTCATTTAGTATCCTGCTGCCTAACGGTGTATGACAATCTAGCTATTCTAGGAGGTGGCTTTCTACTGCTGTCCTCAGCTTAGTTTTTTCACCTCAGAATCTTCTTCATATTCATACCCATGCCTTTCAGAAGCAGCTACGATTTAGGCTTAAAATATCTGTGGATGTGGAAGTATACCATGTTTATACTATAGCGAAATTCTGTAACTTACTACCTTCAAAATTACTATGTCCCTTTGTAGGAATTTCATTTTACTTGAAGCAATTTTTTGGGAAGAAGAGGTTTTTATTTGTGTCATTTACAAATGGAGGGCAGTAGAAAGGTTTCACTTCTGGAAAGTAACTTGTAATAATAATTAACATGATGCTGATACTAATTATAAAATTTTACTCTGTGACAGGCACTATTCCAAGCACTTTACATGCATTATCTCATTTAGTCCTCTTTGCAATCTTAAAAGAAGGTTCTATGATTATCTTCATTTTACATATAAGAAAACTGGAAATCCAAGCGGTTATAACCAAGGATCTTGACCTTATACAAGGTAACAACTGTCCGATGAGGCAGCTGGATTTGAACTCAAACAAATGCTCAACTTCTGTGAGGGTGGAGGAAGATATTTTAAAGAGGACACATTATATTTAATTAGTAGGAGAAAAAAGGCAAAAGTTTTAAACTTCAGTGGTTTCAAGAAAGTTATTCTAGAAGCAGCTTCTGTAAGTTTTTTAATGATATTAATCAAAAGTCAGTCTTTTAGCAGAAGTATGCCCTTGGTTTTTATACTTCTGAGATAAAGAAATATATAGGATTAGTAGTTATTGGAGGTATGCTAATATCTATTGGCAGGCTGAGATTAAATGAATTTGTTTCAACTTTCAACCCCTGAAGGTCATGTTTAAAAACCTCAAGATAGAATGAAATTCTGTAGTTGAAATTAAGAAAATGTGTGATTTGTTTTACTTTATCTGACTTACCAGACTGGAAAGAAGTTATTATTTTTGAGATTCAAGGCAACATTTATTCATTATTTAAATAAACAAACTAGAAAATGTTCTCATGAGCTTACCTATTCCTTACATCTATAAAAACATACCAATTATAATCACCTCTATATTCTTCTTCATTTGGAACATTCAGTACTACACTAAATCAAATAAGACCTGAAAATAAATAAATCTGTTTGCACTTGAAATATATTTATGAAATAAGGTTGAGTTCTATCTAGGTGCCTTCCACTATTTTAAAACTTTACATGCACTTATTTTTATCTGTTCAGTTATAGAAAGATGCTGAACAAGTCTCAGCAGGTGTCCTGGATGGAAGAATCTGTGTGTGCATTTGACACTCCAGCCCTGTGAATTTCCTGCTGAACTGACCAGCACGTCCATGGAGCTTCTTTTTAGTTATTTTCTATACACCTCCTTAGACTTCCTTCCTGTTCCAAAGGTAGGGCATTTCTAAATACAGATATCTGGTCATCATTTTCTTCCATATTTCTCACATTCAATGTCATGGATTCAGTAGTCACTGGGGGAATAATTTCCAAACATGATCCTTTCATCCATTTGTGCAGTCACCAAACCAATGTCCCCACACCACTATGCACCTCTTCCCCCGGGCCATGGGGGTGCTCAGAGTGGAAGCAGAAGGGAACCTCAGGACAGAAGTTCCGAAGGTAGGTGAGTCCCAGGTACGGTGGATGCCATGGGACTGCGCCTACCCCACACTCCATCTTCATGACTTTCTTAGGTTGGTAAAGACTTAAGGAAGGAACTAATATCTAGCAGAAGAGGGAAAAGCATTTCAGGCAGAGAGGACAGCGTGGGAACAGGATCTGGCATGGAATCTCAAGCTGGGGCCTAGGAGCTAAAGGTAGAAGTTGCTGTTGAGGGCCTGGAAGATGCAGGTTGAAAGGGGCCTGGGAGGAAACCAGAACACCAAATAAGAACCAGACCTTGGCGTCCTATGCCTGGCAAAGTAAGGCTTCAGGTACTGGAATGTTTGCCTGGTACAAAGGTCAAGCTAGCAGCAAAGCAGGGTACACACACAAAAAGAATCTAGGTCTAATTTATTTTCTTCTCTACGTATTACCTATTATTAGCACAGTTACGTACATATAGTAGATATTCAATAGTCTGAATCTGCTGAAAGCATGATCCTAAACCAAGCTCAAGAAGGTTTCCAAATGAGTCATTTCTAATAAATGAAGATGATCCTCAAATTATGAACTGATTGTATTCTAGGAGCTAATTTGAGTCAGTTGTTCAGCACATAGCTTTTCATGTAAATATTGACACATACTAGAAATCCTGCTTTAAAAAGTCCAGTTCCTACATCCAAATTCAAGATCCACTCTCTCATACAACCTGACAGCCCTGTGAATAACTGAACGGTTTCTCGTGATGACAAGAGCTACATTAAAAGCATAATCATCAGGCACTCTTACAGATTTGAAAAGGTTTTAGATATACATACACACACAGGCCCATATATAAATAAACTGGAAAAGTCAGGGCATATTTTTGCAGATGAAGGAGTTACTGGCATTGTGTTGTTTTTGCTTTCCATCTGCTTCTAAATCATGTCTACTACAAATTAATCTACTACCTATTTAACAGAAATGAGTACATATATTCAGAAATGGGTACATATGTATTTTAGGAGTAGATAGTAATGAATAGTTGCATAGACAGGTAAATATTTCAACTTTGTTTCAAAACTTTATTTTTCAAGCTGTTAAGTGCATCTAAAACCCTAAGGTAGATTGATTATGTACATATAATACACGGCTAGAGAGAAGCCCAGAAAATAAGAGTTTTATCAGGTGGTGTATGGCAGACGCATTGCACGGAGACCAGTACTGGGAGGGTGGGGAGTAGGGCCACAGAACACAAATCCTGCCATGTATTTGCAAACAATGTCAGTATGTATTGTTCTCTTAGTCTTACAATAAATGTTCAAAATAAGAACTGCACCAAAACTATAGCCATGATCAAAAGAAGCAGCAGAAATGATCTTACTTCAAAACTTCAGTATTAAATATAGTAGAACTCTCGGTCAGTAATGAAATGAAAGAATGCCATATAATTTTGACAGTGAAAATCATTTCTGTTATATTCAACAGAGAATTAGCTGCCTCTTACAGAAGCTCTTAAAACTCCTCAACTAGATGAGTATTTTAATCACTTACATAATATTTAATTTGGCTGCTCTTCCTACTAATCTCATTTGGTGGAATTGCGTCCGTAGGCACTGAATTCTCACCATTGGTGAGACTGGAAGGGTACAGTGTGAGGAAAATGAAAGTGAACCATTGTTACATTCATCAGTGCTAATAAAGGAAATCAGAATACACTATAACATTGTTAGTCTATTTATTACTTGTAATCTAAGAGAAAAAAATCCTTTTGGAGATAGTGTGACTAATACTGATAATATATATGAGTGTCATTTACAAATGCAGAATATTAACTGACAGATCTCTTTTTGGCAGATCAAAGTGATTAAATCTGTTCTCTGTTACTGAAACCACATTTGTTTTCATGCAAAGATAAGCTTAGGGAAAACAAGTGTATTTTAATGAACTATGCAGCTGTATTTCAACAAATGTGTGGCCTCCATGGAGCTAACCACCAGCATAAAATAAACACACTTAGAAAGAAAGTGAGTCTCTCTCTGCACCTCATTAATGAAGTCCCCGATGTCCCCAGGGTGAGGGGCTGCAGATCGGACCGGGTACTGGGGCTCGGCATGGATGGGCCTCTCGTCAAGGCGCCGGATTCCTACGGGCTTGATGGCATCAGGTTCCACGGTATCAGGCTGCTGGAGCTGGCTCAAGTCATAGTCCTGCAACAGACAGAATCAACAACCCATGGGAGATGGGCATAAGGATGGAAAATTACCACCTTTGTTTTTAAACACATACCCAGAATGCATAGAAATGAGTGAAATTTAACATAATGGAAAAGTTGCCACTATGAGTTTCTCATGTTATGATTAAATATTTCTTTCGCACAGCTCTTTCTTCTGTGTTTCTCATCTCTACAGTCTGTGCTCCATCTGCTTTACTATGATCCCCGTCAGCTCCCAATGGAAAACAGCAGTGAGACGAGGTCCCACTACAAAATGACTAAAAACCTGATGAGAAAATACAGCTGTGCCACTGAAGCAAAGGTTCTAGCTTAATGTTGATGGGGTTCAGGACCTACTACCCTAAAATACAGCACTTTGACGTATTAGAGACCTTAAGTTGAAGGAATTTTTTTAAAATGACAGAAAAAAGAGGGTCACCCTGACTCCCCCCATTACTGCATTTCTTCCCTGAAACAGATCCTAAACCTCCCATACGGAAGGTCCCTCCATATTCCAGGACGAGGGAAGACATTCTTACCATCAGAGACGGGGAATCTGGGACCAGGAACCCTGTACAAACAAGCCTTGTTAAATGGACCCTTACCCTCCTGCTTACTTCTTCACCATTTACTACACATAGTGCCCCAAACTCTTCGTCTGCTCAATTCTTCACAATTTATTGCCTCTCTGTTTAAAGGGTATAACAGCTTCCTGCTCCGGTCACTTCTTCACCTCTTCGTTGTCTTGTGAAGGCTCCCGTATACATGTAAAATTTCAATAAAATGTGTAGGCTTTTCTTCTATTAATCCCTTTGTTAGTTTAATTTTCAGACTTAGCCAAGGACTTTAAGAGCATCTAGGAAAAATTTTCCTCTTCTACAATGTCTTTAATATTGAAAAAAAAAAATGACACGGTTGTTTTCCTTGCCTAAAGCAAGGCATTATTAGTTCATCAAGGTTTCCAAGCTACTCTTCACCCCTCTCTCCCTTCAGCCGCCTAGAGTAAGTGAACTGTGGCCTGTAGGCCCAGGCTGCCCCAGTTCCTGTTTTCCTCAAGAACGAGTTTCATATTTTTAAAGGGTTGTTTAAAACAACGATAACAGCAAAGAAGAAGAACATGCTACAACAGACTGTATGTGGCCCACCACACCTGACTGTCTGGCCCAGTGAGGGGGTGGGGTGGGGGGGATGGAGGGCTGGGGGCTTGGCTTCCCCGCTAAGGCAGCCTCGCGGGGAGGTCTTGAAAAATCAGCCTCTAAGGGAGTAGAGCCCATGGAGGAGGATGCTCTGGGCACAGGCTGGGCTCTCAGAACTAATTCCAGCTTTTACATCAGCCAGTTAGACAGGAATATAGAAAGAAACTGACTGTAATGTACAAATGCATCAAAATGTTAGGTTGTTTGGGCAAAGGCTATAGTTTTCAAACCCCTAAATTCTGGTGACATAAAATGTCACATTCCTAGCTTAACCAAAACTCTCTAATTTCATGTTGACATTTACAAAAAGTACAGATTTTTCTGGTGTTCCTTAGAGTTCAGGCTTCATCTCTGTCTTAAACCAGCTTAAGACAAGTTTGCAGCATCTCTACAGTAATTTTGATTTAGTCAACATGGAGTATTTACCACGTTCCAGCAGTGTTCTAGGAGTTTTACATACAGCCACTCATTTGATCCTCTAGACAATACCGTGTGATCATATGTTTTCTTATCCCCACTTGAGAGCTAAGGAAACAGAGTCTCAAAAAACCCAAGTAAGTCCTTTATGGTACCAGACACACTAGGATACAGACACAGGCTCTGATTCCTAATCTGTCAGACTTCAAAGCTATGCTCTTTGCACAGTTATCTGGGAGGGTGAGCCAAGTCTGAGCTACAAGGCTGGGTTTAGAGAGACAAGCCAGATGGATGAGTGTGGAGGGACAGGAATGTGAGAAATGATGAAAATAACAAAGGAAGCAAAAGGGGAGAAAGGTCACTGATGGCCTTGCACCTGCCTTGTGCCATGAACTATACCAGCCTCTTGGTAGGTGTCTTCTCAGCCATACTTCCTAAGAAATCTGGGAAGGGTGTCTTATGTTCACCTTTTTGTATGAAAGAACAGATTTGGAGAGGCCGAGTAAGTTGCCCAAGGTCACACGGGCAGGTCTGTGAATAGGAAGGGAACCCAAATTGGGTGTGTCTGACTTCACAGTGTTGATCTAAAACTTGATATGCTCCTTGAGACACTCTCATCCTGACCTTGCTCCCCTAAACGACTTACCAAGAGACTCAGCGGACCTAGCAGAGAAGACACTGTGGAAAAGCCCCTGCTTTCAGGAGTGTACACGGCAATGTGCAAAGGGGGGCAGGCGCCCACAGGAGAGCCGGCCAGCACGGGGTGAGAACTTGGTATTGTGAAGTATGAACTGCTCAGAGGGGAAAACTGGTGTTAGATTTGGACCTTGAACAACCCATAGGCTAGGGAGAAAAGACCGTTCTGCGAAGGTGAACAACATGAGCAAAAGCATGGGAAGCACTGTTTTCTCTTGTCAGGATAGCGTATTTCCAATCGCCCGTACAAAGCTTGGGTGAAAACATCTTGATCTTGCACAAATGTACTCCATTTTAAATTCTATAGATTTTAGAAGTTATCTACAGAATATATTAAAGGCGTGCAATGATATAACAGGTATGAAAGCCTTTGGAATGTTAGAATGAACAAAATGAAGAGAGGGATTTATCTAGAGAATTTTGAGTGCTTCCACACTAAGAAGCATGTTTTTCCAGGTCATGTTTAATTGCATAACCACCAGAGTGGGGTAAACTGGGAGTAAGTTGGCCTGCTGACAATTATTGAAGCTTTTTGTAGAACGCGGAAAACAGATGGTAAATATGATGACAGTTAATGAACATTTTTTTATGCCAAGGGTGTAAAATGCTTTATAAAAAGCCTGAATAACATGAAATTAAGTAATTGAATCTTATGTTTGAGGACTGTCTTCAACACACATTAAATACCTGGTGCCATAATCCTTGGGAATCCTCAGTATATTACGTGACAAGTCTGTAGAATGCAGAGGAATTTCTCTAGCACACAGAGGAATTTCTCTAGCACACGCAGACACAAAGGAGGCATGTGGGCTCTGCGCATGCTCATCCTTACCTGGAAAGAAGCCGGCCACCCTGACTTCTCACACAGCTCCCGCTATAGCCAAAGGTTACAAAGACACATGCATTTTGGTGGGCCGGCGTTGTTTTAAAAACTTTCTAGTAAACTGCCAACCTTTAGGCATAGGAAGATCTGAGAATAGGAAGATTTGGCAAAACAGAGCTTAAATTCAGACTTAGCAATTTGCCACAGCTGGTTGTAACTGTCTCCTTTGGAAGGCCAGCATTCCACCTGGCCAGCTTCACTTACTGGTGTAGACACACAGCAGCACATTCATTTATAGGTGTTTATCTTTCTTTTGGCAGACTTCTCCTACAATGTTAAGAACCAGAGAGCAGGAACAGTCTTAAAATGTCTGTGATTCTGCTCAGTCCCTTCCACCATCAGCGTGTCAGGCTTAGAGCATGTGCTCACTAAATAATGTGTTGAATAAAGTCTCAGCAATGACATTTAAGCCAGATATTCACAAGGGCGATGAATTAAAAAAATGTGCCTTGGATCACATGACATGCCACAGCAGTAATTCACAAGGGGAGGGAAGGAAAGAACCCAGCCTCAGTGCCGAGACTCAACTGCCACGTGAGTGGCCCCACAGTGTTCCTCAGTTACACTGTTCTAAAAATGAGGCAGAAAACCACTGATTAACAGGAGCTACAAACTGGGTTAAAACAGGAGGCTTAATGTTCCTCTGTCATGTTTTCCCTGTCTACCACAAATATGGGATATAAAACTCTGATGTTGGGAGAAGTGGGCAGAAATGCCCTCAGGTCAGTGGGATGGATTTTTCTGCCTGCATTCATTTGTATGAGAAGGCAGAGGTTCTGTCCTGAAGATCCAATTTTAAGCCTTTTGATAAGGGGTCACTATATGTGAACTTCCTAAATTATACATCTTTACAATCCCATAATGCTTTACTTAAACACACAAATTGTAGCATGTAGGATGAGAATTATAACAAATTACAGAAACCAAAAACATTCTCGAGGTCACTGGGGTTCATGGCCTTACTTCTGAAGAAATAATTCAAGAAGAAACCTTTATTTGGTTCCTAAAACTCTCTAGAGAAAAAGTGGGTCTGAAAATTCTCTTATGATTGTCAAACTTTTCAATGTTAACTTCCTAGAGAAATAAAATTTTCAAATGAAGGTCAAGGAAAATCTTGTTTTAACTAATGTTTAGAACATGTGTTATTTGGCAATGACCATTAGAATAGGCATGGAATTAGGGCTTTTAGAATATAAACATTGCAACTAACTGAAAAAACTTTTTTCATTTATGGTATAAAAATGTCTTAAGGGTGGTACAATTCTGAGAGTTAGCGAGAAGTCAGCAGCTAAAACTGGTTTTGCCTTTCTTGTTAAATTCCACTGACTTGCAATGATTTGTAATTGGTTCAGAAAATGATAACACAAAATCGCCCTTAAGGCATTTGGTTATGTTTAAATAAAATAAAATGCTGCATCGGTATAAACTGAAAATCTGGAATCCCAGGAAAAAATTTCAGAAGCTACATTGCTGGTCGACCTTATGAAGCCATGCAGTTAGGTCTGAGAGAGTGATGAAAACATTCATTTACCGTTTCATTCTGACATACTGTGTGCCAGGTGATATCGTCTGCTCTGAGGATGTGAAAGAAGGAGCCACGCTCCCCTACCCCCAACGTGCTCAAGATCTGTCAGGAACTACACGAGGTGCTCTCCCATGTGAGCTCATAAACCCTTCCCAGTGGGTGTTGTTCCATCCGGTTGATTACGGCAGCTCAGAGAGGTTAATGATCTGCCCAAGGTCATGGACTCAGTTAAGCAGTATGGAAGGATAAAGCAGAAATCACCAGAGCAAGGAAACAAA